AATCACCTCAATCCCAAACGGGGCCTTAGAGACATGATTTCATGTCTTGTGGCCTTTGAGACATGTATTTCACTTTAACAATTATCTTCTTTAACATAGATGTTTATTCCTTTCTAATAAAAACAGGTTGTCCGACCAAAATGGACGAGATGTTGGAAAAATATATAGAGTGGTCAATGAGCAACACCTTATATGATGGATCATAAATTACTACTTTGTTATTGATATTATGATTATATTACTTTTGTTACTAATCAAATTGGTTTATGTTGAAGCTTGCAGGTTTGTAAGATAAAATGTGAGTATTATGCACATGACGTATACATATGCATTGCAAAGCAAGAAAAAGAGTTGTGTTGTGTCAAGTGCTCACCTGTGTAGAGTGTTTGCATTGTGAGGATATTCATGGGTTGAAGTTTACCTTGAATATAAAATAATGAACCTTGTATATGTCAAATGTAGGGTGCAGGGGCTTGAGTATACAATTGGTTGATTATTAAAATAATGAAATCTTGTATATGTCAGACGTATGGTGCAGGGCTTGAATATACAATTGGACGTCAGGGGAAGTGCCTGTTTAATAAAGTGGGGTTTAAGGGATGAACGGGAGTTAACTCATATTCTAACGTATCCATAGCCAAGTGGTATAAGTATGGTATGGGACATGGAGATTATTATATAGTGTTTGCTTGGCGAAGCTAGGGTTCCTATCACAGTGTAGTGGGGCCATGTTTTATTTTCTGTCAGCATTCTTCAGATGGCTTTAGGGGTGAGGAGTGTTGGAATCTTAACATTTGGAAACTCAGGAAGGGGTAAATGCGAAGCTTAACCTTTGGAGAGAAGTGTTGGAATCTAAAGTCTTCGCCTAAGTCGATCAAAGACAGAATATATGGAGTGCAAGTTCAGTGCAAATGGAGGCCAAAATGAGTTAGGGGTGAGGATCGGAGATCAGGAAATACCAAAGAGCGACCGTTTTCGCTACCTATGATCTATCTTGCAAAAGAACGGAGAATTAGATGGATACCTCAACCATAGAATACAAGTTGGATGCATGAAGTGGAAGAGTGCATCCGGCGTGTTGTGTGACCGCCGTATGCCACTGAAGCTCAAGTGAAAATTTTATAGGACGACAATAAGGTCGGCGATGCTATATGACACAGAATGTTAGGCGGTGAAGCATCAACACGTACATAAAATGAGTGTAGCGGAGATGAGGATACTTCGTTGGATATGTGGGCACACGAGAAATGATAAGATTAGGAATGAGGATATCCGAGGTAAAGTAGGAGTAGCCGAAATTGAAGGAAACATGAGAGAAAATCGGTTACGGTGGTTTGGACATATGCAAAGAATGCCTACTGATGCTCCGGTTCGAAGATATGACTATGGGACAGAGGTTCAGAGCCGAATGGGTAGATGAAGACCTAGGAAAACTTTGGAAGAGACCCTAAAAAAAGACTTAGAGTACTTGGATCGAATGGAAGACATGACACATAACCAAGTACAATAGCGTTCTAGGATTCATATAGCCGACCCTACTTAGTGGGGAAAAAATTTGTTGTTGTTGTTGTATTCTTCAGATGGCTTTAGTAGCTTATTCAAATAAAACCCAGACGTTGGCCATGGAAAAATTTTGAGAGAGAGAGAGGGGGAGATACAACTTTATTTTATTATTTTTTATTAAGTCGGTATGAACAGTTTGAAATCCAAATCGAAATTCTTTGCAACCTCGGAAGCAACCCCAGATTTTGGCCATGGAAATAGGACTTGGATTGTCTGCCCTCCTAGTTGTGGTGTCCTTCCATGCCCTCCTATTTTGTACGGTCACGGTTAAGCCACGTCAATATTTTATATTTTTATTATTTTTTGTCTTATTATCTTATTAAAAAATTAATATAAAATATTGACGTGGCTTAACCGTGACCGCACAAAATAGGAGGGCATGGAAGGGCACCACAACTAGGAGGGCAGACAATCCAAGTCTATGGAAATATGTTAGAGAGAGAGAGAGAGAGAGAGAGAGATTTCCTCCTTCATTGCTTTGCTTCCAGGACTGAAATTCTCAATCTTTATTGCTCCACTTAGATTCTCAATCTTTATTGCTCCACGTGGACACGTAGATTCTCTATCTTTATTGCTCCACTTAGATTCTCAATCTTTATTGCTCCGTCCCATGGCCAGCTTTATTTAAAGTTGTTTCTCGCCCTCGCTCTCTCTCTCTCTGAGCAAGTCCATCCCTAAGGACTTTACGTCTGCATCCAGCGCATTTATCCATTCAAGTGAACAGTAATAGACTGGAATGAACAGAAATAGGTCAAGGCATCTCCACCCCTAAAAAAATACGCTGGCACCCAACATATTTATTTGGTGTGTTTTTTTTTTTTAATTTTATTTCGGATAAGATTTTTAACCAATTTCGGATAAAATTTCAAATAAACTTAAAAAAAATACACACTAAAATAAAATTACATACTCATCAAATAAACTTAAAAAAAACACACTAAAATAAAATTACATAAACTCATCAAATAAACTATAAAAAAAACACACTAAAATGAAATTACATAAACTCATCAAATACACTTTATTCTTCAACCACAAACTTTATTATTTATAGAAAAAAATAACTTTTTTTTTAATTTTCTGTATTTTTTTTTAAATTTTTGTATTTTTTAATATTTTTTTGTATTTTTTTATAATTTTTAATAAATTTTAATATAGTTAATTAATATGGACCGTTGGATTTGAAAAATATTCAAATCCAAGAGCCAAGGAGTTGCCACGTGGCCACTTGCCCAGCTTCTTGGTCAGTCAGTTTTGAGCTAGCCCAGAGACCAGCATAGGCTGGGCCCCATGCTGTTGTGCGGGCTGGAGGTAATGGACAGAGTGCTGGGCAGTTTTTTGGACTGAGTGCTGGGCAATGTCCACTCCGGTGGACTTGCTCTCAGAGGCAGATGGTCTGCCCTTCCGTACCGTGCCATTTCCTTCTCCTATTTGTACGATCACAATTAAGCTACATTAATATTTTATATTTTTATTACTTTTTGTCTTATTATCTCTATTAAAAAATTAATATAAAATGTTAACGTAACTTAACCGTGGCCGTACAAATAGGAAAGAAAGAGAAGGGCACGATAACTAGAGGGCAGACAATCTGCCTCCCTCTCTCTCTCCCTCTCTCTAATATTTTTCCATGGCCAACGTCTGATTTTATTCGAATAACCTTTTGACAATCAATATGTAATATAACATCAAGTTTATTTTAAATTTCAATCTTATTAAATGATTTAAGTTAAAAACAATCAATATGTAATCTAACATCAAGTTTATTTTAAATATTAATTACAATCAATATGTAATATAACATCAAGTTTATTTTAAATTTCAATCTTATTAAATGATTTAAGTTAAAAACAATCAATATGTAATCTAACATCAAGTTTATTTTAAATATTAATCTTATTAAATGATTTAAGTTAAAAAACTCATTTATGCAAAAACTTGGCAAAATTTTATTTAAACTCATGTAACTTATTTCTACACCCAACTTACTCTTTACACATATTGATTTTTAACTAAACTATTAATATTTCTTTAAACCCAAATTTATTACCTATTAAACCCTCGTAAAGAAGCATTGAATTGGAGCAGGAGCTGCGTAGGGACGACTCCTTCGATCAATCGATTTCAACATGCTTCTAATGTTAATTGAAACGCTTTCTTTCTTTCTTTCTTTTTCTTTTTTTGGTTGAGCGAGTGATAGTCTGAAGCATTATTCTTAGGGTCTCTGCCTTGACACGCCAACCAGAACGCACAGATAGAATTAACAAAAAGACAAATGGGCTCATGAGAAAGAGGAAGGAGATGAGTGAGCTTTTTTTGGTATTTTTCTACAGGGGACTGGGACGGCTTTTGAGCTCATCGACACCCCCAGCAACTTTGGGTCCGAGATGAAATTAAAATGTTGTTGTAACTCGTGGAAGGATTCAACATAGAAATCTGAGGGGTGTGTGTAATCCACATCAATAGTCTGAAAGGGGGAACTAGAAAAAAGGATTGTGGGACAAGAAGTTAGAATTGAACCGAAGGTTCCAATCCCTTTTTAACTTTCGTGTTTATTTTCCATCTTGTTTCTGGCTGCAACTTCCCTCACCAAAAACAATTACATTTCTTGTCTGTTCAACTGTACCCCTCGAAACTCCAAAGCATAATCCTGATCACTGATCCCCGCCATTAACATATATCAAATGGAACTATATATATGTACACGCATGTGTGAGCAGTTGGTTGCATGTAATCGAAGAAACATTAATCAAGTTTATTGATATTTCCCCAATCTTGTAAATTATTGGTTGTTTTTCTTAATAGAAAGTGCTGCCATCTACATTTTTTTGTTAATATGCCATCTACACAATAAATGTTTGGGTTTATTGATAAATATGAGTTTTATTATTAATTTCATTGTGTACTTAATAGTAATTATGCAATAGTGTGAAATAGACAATTAACATTTAAAATTTAAATTGGATGTAGAAATAGGTTAAATGAGTTTAAATAAAATTTCCCAAAAACTTGGCATCCATCTAATACTTATTGGTGACATATTCCTTGTCCTTGGTCATGGAAAAACGTTAGAGAGAGAGAGGGGGGGGAGGATTTTGTTTGGGTTTTTGGCATGGCGGTTGACATTAATTCATATGGGAATAATAATTACAAATACTAATTGACTTCAGACCCAGAACTAATTGGGATGTAAAGTAATCTTTGTTCAACCTTTTGAGTTTTTACTAGAATAACAGTCTTTCTACTTGCACTGCCCTTTGCTTTGATATCTGCAAGTACTGCAAACTGGTTTGAGTTGCCTTACATCTTGGAGTTAGTTTCTTTTTTTCTCTTAACTTCTTGTGATAATTACGCTTTGTGTTCGCGCCTAATGAAGTCGAATTTAAATTATAAACTAGTTGCAGACAAGAAATTATTCTCTCTCTGCAAATTAAAAATCAAATCAAGTTGAGTTCAAGAGAGCAGCTCTCCATTATTTGGTCACCAAATTTACAAATCATCAAAAGTAAAATTACTGGAAAAATGGATTCATTCAGTTCAATCATAATTTTACATGATCATCCAGAACAAAACACCATAGACAATTAAAGAAACACTAAAATTAATAAGAGGAGAAATTAAAAGCCGGAGAAAATCGTCTTACAAATCTTCATTCCATACCAAGTTCTGCAGCCACTAAAATTAATAGTTATTCAAGTAGCTGCTTCCGAATAAGCACTGCGGAGCTGCACTCCTACCGGCACACAAATTCTACACTGGCGGGCACTTTTTTCTTGAGGTGTTGGATAGCATGATCTCTGGCATTCTCTTCTTCATTCTCCAGTAGGCAATTGATCTCGATTCCCGTAGGCTGACACCAAAACCGGACAGGATTTATAACAATCTTCTCTAGTGCAACAACATTCTTCACCCAAGTACCTGCCATGCTTTACGCAACACTTGTGACCTCGATACCCTGCTATTTCTACCACCTTGAGGCAGTGATGGGGTTGTTTGGAAACTTTCTCTAGTATTGCCATGTCCTCATTGGAGGTTCCGAAACCCAACTGCAACATGGAAAGCAAACACAACCAGATTCAAAACAAACCCCGTTATTAATTCTTTTGGCTCTTCGAGAATACAGGTAACAGAGAGATCGTGAGAGGACATTGATGCATATATCAAGTTTAACTTTGGTAACCTATCAATAACAAAGGCGTACAATACATACATACCCCCAAAACAAGGCTGCGCAAGTCAGGAGCTGCCTTCATGAAAGAAGCTAAGCGACCAAGGGACAGACAGTAGTTGGCATCCACTAATAATTCCAAATGCTTTAGATTTGATAACGCGGGAAACGCATAATTCTGATTGTAGACCTGAAAGCCAACAACAACTGAGTAAGGGACGCGACAATAGTTGATCTCAACCAAATAACATGGGATAAGTATGCTAACCGCTCCCCTGATATCCAGCTTCAGGGTCTCTAAATGAGAAAGACGGCATGAGAGTTGACTGAACGCAAGCCTTATGAATTCAGCAAAAGTGCCCCACTTGTAAATGGATACCTCAACCAGCAGAGGCACATTATTGAAACTCAAATCTATTATTGGTCCAACATCAAGAAGAAGAAATTAGACTAGATGTTAATGGATTTATCATATTGATGGAAATAACAGCTCCTGCATAATGCCGATGCTTGTCGCAATAGAAAAATGCAAATTACTGTACTAACAAAATAACTGTCCATGTATACTAGCTCTAATAATCTTCGTAGTTGCTACAACTTGGTACCACCAAGTGAACCAAAATCACAAGAAATAGAATTCAGTACTTGACTTGCAAGATTACTCTCAGCACCATCCTTAGAAACCTCGGGAAACTAAACTCATCATTCAAACTGTTACCAACTTTGATGGAAAGCCCAGAACTATAACCTCACTAAATTATATGAACTTGAAAATCATCTGTTGCCCCCTTTAATGGAAAGTCAAATATAATTATACAACAGGGTCAACAGAGACCATATCTAGCTTAAGGTTCAACTCTGCCTGCTTCTGCATGGCTATGGTTCTATAATTATTCTAACTTGTAGTTCCACGTCAAAAAACCTCTAACCCTCTCTCGACAAAGCTTTTTCCTCCTAACTAAGAAGTATACTTTAGACATCAAAGAAGGAATGAGTATATACAACAAAAATGATAAAATCTAACCCCAAGAAGTAAACAGAAGTCATTTCAAGACTAGTCAGCTTAAATTAATCTCAATATGTTGATAGAAAAACAATGAGTACCCAAGGCACCAAAAAAATCTACCACTACTCCACCCAAAAGCACTTAAGTACAGACAAAGAAAGAACCCACCACGCCTCCTCAAATATATGCGAGCAGTGGAAGACTATATATCTCTGCGTATTTTGAATGGAAAAAAAAAAGAGAAAATTTAAGATACCTTGACATCATAAAGCACATCAAGCAACCTCTTAGGGTCTGAACAACCTTCCCGATTCGCAAGTCCGATATTATGAAAAGTCTAATAAGAAGATCCATAGTAAGCAAATATACATTACAAAAATACAAACTTAACTCATTTCAGAAATTGGGTTTTCAAAAAGAAAAAAGAAAAAAGCTTCATCTTTTCATATAAAATTAAAGAAAAAGAAAGAGAATTACTTTGGGATCGTTTGGCTTCCTCTTGAGGCACTCAGACAAGGCGGTAAGGCGCTGATCGAACTTGCCCGGCTGGAACTGCAGCAACGCAACCTGCGCAAAAGCTCGGGTCACGGACATGACGGCTTCGTCCTCAGCAGCTGAAGCAGAAGCGTCCCGATTCGCAAGCGTCGATGACGAAGACGGAGCCATTGGCGAATCGATCGCTCAGAGCCCAGGAACCAATAAGACTTATCTGAATACACGAATCCCCCAGAAAAAATTATCGAAAACGGCGAACCCTAATGGGTAGAAGGTGCGTTTTGGGAATTGATTTGAAATCAGAGTTGGGGGCTTTCGAAACCCTAAGAGCTTTGCAGAGAAGGACACCCGTTAGAGCGTCTTTTCTCGAATGTGGCACTGGATATGGGGATTGGGAACCTATTTTCGCGCCATAACGCGGGAAAGGGTGGCGGGTTTATTAACTTGGGGCCTGTTGGGCTACAGGCCCAAATAAACTGAAACCCAGATGTGATAAGTTGGGCTGTAGGGGATTCAATTGCCCAATTGGCTAGGCAATAGGGTAGGGGGTGGATTCGCTCTTACCCCACTAGATCGCCTCTCTGCTCTTACCCCACCCGACCCCTTCTCTCTCTCGATATATATATATATAAGCAGCTAAATGAAATACAAGGACGAAACCCCTAGCTTCGAGAGTGACCGCCGTTTGAACCGTTGAGATGGATGCCTTCTGTAACAATGGCGAATTTCCAATTGATCCAATTGAAGGGTAAATCTGTTGTTAGGAAATTTTCTGTGTTTGATGTGGACAATTAAAGAAACAGTAAAATTAATAAGAGGAGAAATTAAAAGTCGGTGAAAATCGTCTTACAAATCTTCATTCCATACCAAATAGTTATTCAAGTAGTTGATTCCGAACAAGGTCTAAAATATCGATATTATCCCGATATTTTCATCGAAATTTTCGTGTTTTGGACTACTGATATTTCCGATATCATCGATATTTTAGACCTTGATTGGAACTCTATGTGATACTAAGTCACTCATGTATCTTACCATACAATGTATAAAGTGTAAAATATTGTACTAATTCATTATATATAAATGATTACGGTGTGTTTAAACTTCTTTCATTAATTACTACATATTTTCTACACTCACAATGTTTGCCAGCTCGTTATATAATCAACTTAAATCAGTTAAATCCATCATGCAATGTATTTCCTTCCAATTTTTTGTGATAAACTAATAGATAATTGATTAAATAAACATCCTGCAAAGTTTTTGGATTACCGATATTTCGATCGAAATTTCCGTGCTTTTGGACTATCGATATTTCCGATTTCATCAACATTTTAAACCTTGATTCCGAAGAAGCACTGCGGCACTGAGAGAAAAAAATATAAAAGAATAGAGAGAAAAAGAGGTAGAAAAGAACAGACACAAAAAACGTAGGCTTTAGTTCTCAAAAAAAAAAAAAAACGTTGGCTTTTTGTTTGAACATGCAAGAAAAATGATTATGGTTGAGCTTGGAAATCTCCTGGTCGCCAGGAAGGAACCATCACTAGGGTGTTACTTTGGACTGATAATCATTCGGGGCGGCGTGTACCAGATTCCTTGTTTGTGATACGTTCGTTCTTTTCTACTTTTTTTTTCTCTCAGTCCTTTTCTACCAGATTCCTTCGGAAGCAGCTACTTGAATAATTATTAATTTTAATGTCGGTAGAACTATTAATTTTAGTGGCGGTAGAACTTGGTATGGAATGAAGATTTGTAAGACGATTTTCACCCGCTTTTAGTTTCTCCTCTTATTAATGTCAGTTTCTCATGTTTTGTTGGAATTTTCCCTAAATTATGCAAGTAGGTAAATTAATATAATAGTAGGTAAATTATGCAAGTAAGTAAATTTCAATAATAGTAGGTAAATTATGTACGTGATTTACCTACATTTGTTTATTTGAATTAAATATCTAGACTGTATATGTAAATAATTTACCTATAGTTGGTTCTTTTATTTTTCTTTGTTCTAAAATTAATTTACTTGCAATTTTTATCTCCTTTCAACAATTTTTTTATATATATTTTAAAGTACAATAATTTACTTATATATAATATGGACACGTTGTAATGGTGAATTGAAATTCGAGAGCCAAACTAACCAACAAATCCTTACATTTATATGCAAAATATTATTTTTGTAAAATCATTAATTTCCCCTTGCAATTTGCATATAATTAATTGTGTACATTAAACATTCAATAAGGGTGTTTTAGGCATCCGAAAAATTTTAAATGGGTAAAGTCAAACATAATTAATGAATTTGCTTATGTTGAGTCTAGTTAATGGGTTTTATTCAAGCAAAAAAATTTACGTCAGGTTTTATGTAGAAAAAAATTAAGTTCCAAAGGCTAAGGTCATATTTTCAGTAATTTAAATTCGACTTCATTATGCGCAAACACAAAGTGTAATTACCATAAGAAGTTAACAAATGAGCATATTTTGGAGAAAGAAAGCAAAACTAACTCCAAGATGTAAGGCAGCTCAAACCAGTTTGCAGTACTTGCAGATATCAAAGCAGGGGCCGTACAAGTAAAAAGATTGTTATTCTAGTAAAAACTCAAAAGGTTGAACAAAGATTTATTTGCATCTACTTTGATTCCAATTAATTTTAGGTATGTTGTCGAACAGTATTTGCAATAATTATTCCCATATGAATGCCAAAAATCCAAACACAAAACTCTCCCTCTCTCTCTCCCTCAATTGGAATTTTGTGTATCGAGTGTTTGGAGCTCCTTGGAATTTTGTGTACTCGAGTGTTTGGAGCTCCCGAGTGTTTTTTGTGTACTCCGAAGTTCATTGACATGACTAATAAAATAATATAATTTCCCTTTCATATAGTATTTGCAGCAATATTTATTCCACATGAATTAATGTCAACCACCATGCCAAAAACTCGCGAACTCGAGTGTTTTTTCTGTACTCCGAAGATCGTTGACGTGACTAATAAAATAATATAATTTCCTTTTCATATGGTATTTGCACTTTTGTAGGAATATTTATTCCCATATGAATTAATGCCAACCGCGCCAAAAAGGACTTGGATTCTCTGCCCCTCCTAATTCGGTGCCCTTTTCGTGCCCTCCTGTTTGTGTGATCACGGTTAAGTCACGTTAATATTTTATATTACTATTTTTTTTTTATCTTATTATTTTTATAAAAAATAATATAAAATATTAGCATGGATTAACCGTGACCGCACAAAACAGGAGGGCACGGAAGGGCAGAGAATCCAAGTCCCGCCAAAAAACCCAGACACAATACTCTCCCTCTCTCTCTCTCTCCCCCTCAGTTGGAATTTTGTGTACTCCGAAGTTCATTGACCTGACCTGACTAATAAAAAAAATATAATTTCCTTTTCATACTCCTGCTTTGGTGACATTCGAATATTTGATTGGTTATGATCCGTTGGACTCGTTAAGAAGCATGCAGGGGAAAAAACCAGCCAATTTGTCAAACGGTTATTCGAATAAAACCCAGACGTTGGCCATGGACAAATGTTAGAGATAGAGAGAGAGAGAGAGGGAGAGACAACTTTATTTTAGAAATATTTTAGATGCGGTTCCTAATCCTTAATATTCTTTGATTAAAATCTTATTCAAAGTTTGATCAAGGTCCTTTGACTTTGTACACCTCATTATATGACTATTAATATTTATATTTTTATAGTTTTGACATTAATTGTTTGATATTTTATAAGATTTATAATCCTATAAATTTAAAATCTCTCATTATAATACTATTAGAAACGGTTACAATAAAAAAATTCAAACATTTTGATTGAATAAATAGATAAAAACTATGTAAAAATAAGAAATAATAAATGACAAAAAAATGTATCCATGGTGTTGGCTTATGAGGTTGGCAAAAGAATGTATCCATCGTGTTAGCTTCTGAGGTTGGCAAATGAATGTATCCATAATGTTGGCAATCCTTGGACATTAATCTGTCCATGCAACTTAATAAAAAATAATAAAACAAAGTTGTCTCTCCCTCTCTCTCCTCTAACATTTTTTCCATGGCAAAAGAATGTATCCTTGGACATTAATCTGTCCATGCAACTTAATAAAAAATAATAAAACAAAGTTGTCTCTCCCTTGGACATTAATCTGTCCATGCAACTTAATAAAAAATAATAAAACAAAGTTGTCTCTCCCTCTCTCTCCTCTAACATTTTTTCCATGGCAAAAGAATGTATCCTTGGACATTAATCTGTCCATGCAACTTAATAAAAAATAATAAAACAAAGTTGTCTCTCCCTCTCTCTCCTCTAACATTTTTTCCATGGCCAACATCTGGGGTTGGCTTCTGAGGTTGCAAAGAATTTCGATTTCGTTTTCAAACTGTTCGTGCCAACTTAATAAAAAATAATAAAATAAAGTTGTCGCTCCCCCTCTCACTCTCTCTCTCTCTCTCTCTCTATAACATTTTTCCATGGCCAACGTCTGGGTTTTATTCGAATAAGCTACTAAAACCATCTGAAGAATGCTGGCAGAGAATAAAATATGGCCCCACTCCACTGTGATAGGAAGCCTAGCTTCGCCAAGCAAACACTATATAATCTCCATGTCCATTCAAACAAGATCACCAACTCATTCGATAAATGAAATAAAAGGGAGAAACCAAGCTTCTAAGAGTGACCACCGTTTGAACCCTGAACCCTTGAGATGGATACCTTCAGTAACAATGGCGAACTTCCCGTTCATCCAGTTGATCCAATTGATTGGTAAATCTGTTGTTTGGAGAATTTTGATTTTCATTTGTTTGGTACCGCATAGGGAAGTTTGATTGGTTTAATTTCTTTGGTTATTGCTGTTTTTGTGTTCCAGGAGGCTGGAGGACCAGTTTCTGGAGCAGTATTTTCAGGAGTCTTTGTGGCAGCAGGAGGATGCGCTGTGGCTTCAAGATGTCCTTTGTAATAATTATTGAAGTTTTATATATTTATTTCATGACTAAAATTGTTACAAGTTGCAGCATATAAGGAAGAAGAAACGTGAAGAAGAGAGCAGGGAAGATGGCAGCTAAGCCAACATCATGATGACATGCAATCCCTCTAAAACTTAATCTAATATCCTGCTTTTGCTTTACAGCATGAAGAGCCGAAAGCAAAGAATAAAAAACAGTAAGTGAGGGGGGGAACCGAAAGTAACAACACCACTAGACAAAAACTTTCTAATATTTTAACCCTACTTTCAATGATGACTGATGACATCCAATACTCCCCCTCAAGCTGGATCCAGTAGGTTGATGGATCCAAGCTTGGAGAGGAGCCTTTGAAACTGATGGGAAGCCAGAGGTTTAGTGAATATATCAGCCAGCTGATCGAAGCTTTTTACGTAATGCGTCTGAAT